GTTTACAGCAAAGCCTTGATGAGTGTACTTTGCGCTAGGGGTGACGCCTATGATTAGCACATCCTAGACTCAGGTTACACTTACAATTGTGTAGAGAAGCTCTGGGAGCGTACCTAAAGTGGTACTTGACTTCGTTCGCTCCCAGTCCTCAAACAAGTGTTTGGTGATGGGCAACTTCAACCTGCCAAAGATTTGCTGGGCAAAGCATGCTTGCCACTCAGCGTCAGGCACATTCGGCGCGAATCTGCTTGAGATCACGCTCCAAGTGCCGTTGCATCAGTTCATTGACCTCCGCACTAGGTACATGGACGTCAAAGTACCGTCTATCTTAGATCTTGTATTAGCTAAGTCACTCGATTTTGTTGTTGAAATTACTTACTGACCTCCACTACGCTCCAGTGAACATGTTTGTTTGCTCTAGACGCTACCAGAGTACTGTTGAGTCTTGCCCGAACATATGGCACGCAGACCATCAATCAGTGAGAACCAAAGGCTTCGGGTTTCCATTGTGAGGTATCAGACGACGATACCGTCCAGGTTGCCTGGGATAAATTTATATCCTACCTCACAGAGACCCCTGCTCCCTTCATCCCAATCACAAGGGAAGGGAGGCACGAGCACAACCGTTCTGCATAGATCCCACAGGCATCTGCTCATAAAGATGTCTAGATGTTGGCAGACTTACCGAGATGTTGCGTCCACCGATGTTTATGACGGGTACCGCAAGGCTAGCAATAGGTCTATTATATTATTATTCAATACTTGACCAATGTACAATTGTTAGTGCCACAACACATAGTTAACAACAACAACAACAAAAAGGGGGAAGTTGATAGTCAGTGAAAGGACTTGGTGAGTGTAGAAGGCAGTGTTGTGTGGGCAGAGATCTTCCCCGGTTGCCCAGGCCGAGGAAGATGGTGGACTTAAGGGGTGATGAACGAAGACCGTTGACATCCGAGTGGCTTATTCGCCTTCTTTGTGTTCGGTAGCAGTCCACAGACAAGCCGGGCCCAGCAAGATTGTACATCCCGCTTTCCGTTATATACTCACTTGTGCTTATAGAAGTGAGTGGTCAGCGACCCTATAGCCCGTCACATTGGCTTTGACACTGCGTCGTAGGAGCTCTTGTGGTATTTGATGGAGAACTAGATGACCACCTCAGAACTCTCCATGCTCTGCGACGCTGCCGCTGATTGTCCGCGACTGCTTATTCATCTCGCCTGCAAGGCAAACGACTTATTCGCAGATACCTCCACAACAAAGGCATTCCCCAATCCGCAACCTGGGGACGCGCCCGATAGCGTCTAGCTCCTCAACGGGTCTAAGCAATACCTAAGGAATACTCGGCTCCGTTTTGAGAAAGGTTTAGCAGACGTAGCTTTAAAGTATCCAAAAAGGTTCTTCGCGTATGTCGAAAGGCGGTGCGGATCGAACATGTCAATTTCAGTATTGATGCATGAGGACGGTACTCATGCGCATACGGACTATGACAAGGCATGCGTACTTAGTGGGGAATATGTAGCAGCGTTTGTAAGGGAAATCTCTTTGATAGGTGTTGAGCTGGTTTTCAGGATCTCAGAGGGTTCCGGACTATCAGCATTTATTGTAGCTGAGACGGAAGCTCGTAGGCTGTTAATAGCGCTGAACCCTTCTAAAACCTCTCTGCCTGATTTAATTCATCCGTAACTGTTGCATGAGTTGGCTGCGGAACTAAGTGGACCGCTCGCTAACTTGTTTCAGAAATCGCTTGACAGCTATGCATTACCTTCCGAATAGAAGGAATCTGTAATCTTTCCCATCTTCAAAAATGGGGACAGGAGTCTGCCTGCAAATTACAAGCCACTTAGTCTGCAGAGTGTAATAGGCAAACTCCTCGAGAAACTGGTGAGCCATTCATTGGAGAGTCATCTGAGCAGATTTAAACTACTTAGCAATGTACAACACGGATTCCAGAAGGGATGTTCGTGTCTGACGAATCTATTGGTGGCTCGCGTAAGTTGGACGGATGCAGTGGATAACGGCCACACACTGGACCTGCTTTTCATCGACTTTTCGAAGGCATTTGTTATGGTACTTCATTTGAGCTGACCTCCTACGGTGTACCTGGCCGCGCCCTTCATTGTGTGACTACCTTCTTCGATGGTACAGACCAGTGTGTACGAGTAGGCCGTGGTCTATCGTTTAGGCAGCCTGGCCTCAGTGGCTTTTCGCAGGGTTCGTTTCTTGGACCGCTGCTATGCTCTATCTATGTGAATGACCTGCCCGCGGAGCTGCTTTTTGCTGATGACCTGAAGCTGTGGAATACTGTCGATGTTCCTGGGTGTTCCGAAGCTATTCAGAGATCATTGGATAAGCTTTGGGACTGGTCTACTTTATGGTTATTGCCCATAAATCAGACAAAGTGCTAAATTTTTCGAATTGGAGGAGATTGTCCTCCTGCGAAGTACCTGGTCGGTGGGCTCAAACTCTGCCATGTACCTAGCCAGGTTGATCTAGGCATCGTGCACCCTTCGGCTTCACACTCCGACGACAACTTGAAGAAGGCTGCAAGCAGCGGTATCCGCATGTTGTGGTTAATACGAGTTTCTTTCGGAGTCTTGACGGGTGGTATCTTTACAAGACTGTTCTCGGCTTTCGTTCGGCATCATCTGGAATACTGCGTCCAGGCTTGTCCGCCCTGCCTCGTCCTGAACAAAATGGCGCTAGAGAGGGTTTACGGGTGGGTACTAAGATGGTCGAGGGATTACGGGGACAGACGTACCTCGAGCGTCTTCTTAGTTTGGGAATGCATTCAATGCACTTGTAGCGCCTGTAAATTTACTTATCTTTCATTGTACATTCCTTTCCTATTACAACCAATCCTTGTACATTAACCTTGTATACTTGTTTTGATTGATAAATAACACACTTTTTGAACCACGCGGGCAAATCGACGTGTTCTCTCTGTGTTCTTGTGCCACGGATTTTATGGCATTGTCGATCACTACGTTCTAACCTAGAGCAATATTCATCTACAGATCTCGTTCCGTCTCAACTGGTTTCACCATCGTCGTTTGTCGTCCATCGGAGTTGCTGACGCAAGAGGACTAGGAAGTTTTATGTGGTTGGACTTCTAACCCACGTCGGAACCCTTCTGTGAGTCTTGTCATTTCTGATCATCATTTATTCATCTTTATTTCTCTTTGGGTCCGAGTCCACTACACACTACCGAAGGCTTAGAGGAGACCTAATCCTAACCTACCGTATCTTAACTGAGAAGGTTGGTCCAGGTTTATCTTGACTATTGAGTCCCGCTAGATTGTCTGTTCTACGCGGTCATTTCTTGAAGCTGGACAAATCGCGGTCCGATCGGATTAGGGCGGAAATTCTGCTGTCACGCCGAATCGTCGACCGCTGGATCATACTTCCAGAAAGTGTTATCAGGGAATCTACGGTTAAGGGATTTGAGCAGCAACTTGACGCTCTTAGGGTGGCAACACGAAACCTTTCCATTTTCCCAAGTAACTTGCATCTTCGTAATTCGTTTTTCTTTTCCTACTTTCCTTCACCTATTGGCATTATTTTCTTATTTCAAGTGCACTTCTTTATTATGTACCTTGATTTCTCTTTCATTTCTTTGCTTACTTCACGTGACTGCCACAGCAGGTACCGCAGGGACTTGACCCTCTCGGCCGGCAGTTGAAAGTCTTCCCCTTTTTGTCTTAAACTTTTCTTCGTCTACTACGACCTACGCTTCTTTAACTCATTTTAGCTTACGTCTTACTATTACCTATGATATTCGATAAGCTTATCTTCTCCTCTATTTCCTTTCCTTTACTGATACATTTCTGTTTCCTTTTATTCTTCACGTGGCCGGCGCAGCGGGGACTGCTAGTGCAGGGCACGTGGGCATGTCTTGGTTGACCATGTGAATCGTGTGTGTTGATTTAGCACATCAAGGCACCAGTTTCCCTTTTGGATCAACGACGTTTTCCAAGCTGGAACATTCGCAGAATTCTCCTACTGTTCCGGTCCCACTTGAACTTGAAACGTGGGCATTAACTGGTGGGGCGGGGTACGATACTGGTGTTCCGCTTTAGATCAATCAGTAACTGAACACTTCAGCAATTGCTGGCTCAACGATCCACTCAAGTTGGAACACTCACGGGATTCTCCTATCGCTCCAGTCCCAAACGAACTTAAAATTGTTCCAGTCCCATTTGAAAATGAAGCTGATCTACAATCAAGCTCAAGTTCAAGTTCAAGTGGGACTGGAACGATGGGATGAATCCCGTAAGCATTCCTTTTTGAGCAACATAAATGCTTTTATTAATTAGACTAGTGAGCTATGATAATATTTTACTAACGTAATGGAATACTAATCCATTTCTTAGCATGTTCTAAATTGATGTTCTACGTGACCTTTGTTTTACTGAGCAAATTTAATTTGTTCATTGGTAGCCAATGACAACCCACAAAGATGGTATATATGCGGGTTGCCGGTTGTTGTACAATCGTTGCTTGGTGTTGCGCGCGCTACTATGCGGGAGATTGTCCACATCCAGGCGGGCCAGTGTGGCAACCAAATTGGTGCGAAGGTAGGTTAATCTAAAACTTTCAGCTTTTTGTTCGCATTAGTTCTGGGAGGTCATTTCGGATGAACATGGAATTGACCCCACTGGTACGTACCATGGGGATTCGGATCTACAACTCGAGCGAATAAATGTTTACTACAACGAAGCTACCGGCGGAAAGTATGTTCCTCGGGCGGTGCTAGTCGATCTGGAACCGGGGACGATGGACAGCGTTCGTGCTGGTCCATTCGGACAGCTGTTTCGTCCGGATAATTTCGTGTTTGGTCAGAGTGGAGCCGGGAACAACTGGGCCAAAGGGCATTACACCGAAGGAGCTGAGTTGGTGGACTCAGTCCTTGACGTCGTTCGCAAAGAGGCTGAGTCGTGTGATTGCCTTCAGGGTTTCCAACTTACCCACTCCCTGGGAGGCGGAACCGGCTCTGGTATGGGCACGCTGTTGATTTCCAAAATTCGCGAAGAGTATCCCGATCGTATCATGAATACTTTCTCAGTCGTTCCCTCCCCGAAGGTATGCTGTAAATTCTTTACGTGACTATTACTAGGTGTCTGATACTGTTGTGGAGCCGTACAACGCAACGTTATCCGTCCATCAACTTGTTGAAAATACTGACGAGACTTATTGCATCGACAACGAGGCTTTGTACGACATCTGCTTCCGAACTCTCAAGCTAACTACACCAACTTACGGTGATCTGAACCACTTGGTTAGTGCTACGATGTCTGGCGTCACAACGTGCCTGAGATTCCCAGGTCAGCTAAATGCTGACTTGCGCAAATTGGCTGTCAACATGGTGCCATTCCCACGTCTGCATTTCTTCATGCCTGGTTTTGCCCCTTTAACAAGCCGTGGCAGTCAACAATACCGTGCTCTCACAGTTCCTGAGCTGACCCAGCAGATGTTCGATGCTAAGAATATGATGGCCGCTTGCGATCCTCGTCACGGAAGGTATCTCACTGTTGCCGCAATGTTCCGCGGACGCATGTCTATGAAGGAAGTTGATGAACAGATGCTAAATGTTCAAAACAAGAACTCGAGCTACTTTGTAGAATGGATTCCGAACAATGTTAAGACGGCTGTATGTGATATTCCTCCACGCGGACTGAAGATGGCTGTCACTTTCATCGGAAACAGTACAGCTATTCAGGAGCTCTTCAAACGTGTGTCGGAGCAATTCACTGCTATGTTCCGTCGCAAAGCTTTCTTACACTGGTACACTGGCGAAGGCATGGACGAAATGGAATTCACTGAGGCTGAGTCTAATATGAACGATCTAGTCAGCGAATATCAACAGTATCAAGATGCGACTGCGGAAGAAGAGGGTGAATTCGAGGAAGAGGAGAACGAGGAAGCATAGGGAACTTGTTTTGTTCACGTTAATAGCCCTAATAAATTTCAATGGTTAGTTTTGTCCTTTTGACTATCAGTATTTGCCTTTTCTGCCGCGATCATTTTGCGCTCAATGGAGCATTGTGTTAAACCATCGAGTAGTTCTCTTGTCTAAATGGGGCAGTGATACTATGCAGTGTCTGGTCTTTTGGGATATGTCGCACTGCACAGCGTCGATCTGCGTACTATGCCATCGCACCTTCAATACAATATTGTCGCTGTCGATTAGCACTCGGGGCTTTTACAAGTTCTCGCTTCACCAAGAGCTGTCGTCACTATTTTTTGCGGGGATCCTGTCCAGTATTACTTTATCTAGATGAACAGGCACCTTGCGGGATTACCCGCTCCCGTAAGGGTTTACTTTATTTTGGGGGATTCTCGCGGAACACGGGCATCCCGTATGGTATTTCAAGAGTAAATTGTAACCCGGGTTTTGCAACAGAAAGGTGCAAATGCTACGTAGCCATTCCACGTTTGCCTACCATGACCCTCAAACATTGCTGAATACTTTGCCTCTGCCAGCCGCACCCACCAGTCAATTGCCGCAGAATCTTTAGCTCCCTAAACCCTTGTCAGATGGAGCAACTTTAGTGGTGAGCATTCATAGTAATGTTCGGTCGTCAAGTACCACAATAAGCGAGCTCGGTCTGCCACGCATCCTACTCTGAAGTCTATGTCATTGCAGCACGTAACTGATGCAATTGGCGTATTCATTATTTGCGTGTGGTTATTGTGCTAGCTGATCGGACGCCGGTTTAGGGACGAATCAAGTACGGACTGGAGCACTCGGACGCATGTTTACCCAGCTTATGACGTTCGAGTAGCGTATAGTTATCCAAAGCATGAAAGGTGTCTTCTGTATAGGTGCTTCATCATCAACCTGGAGGACCAGGAGGGTGAGTTGTTCTGGCCTCTAACCATTAAACAATCTGTGTGGCTCTGCAAGTGCAAAAAGCACTACCCAGCATAGCTCAATAGGTCACTGAGGCATACAAACCATCGCGCCCCCTTAAGGTCCAGTCTCGTCGCGATGGGACTAGGTACTTCAAAATGGAGCGTTTGTGAATGACCGAGCTCTCGAGTTAGAGACCAATACCGTTGGGAATAACGAATTGCTTTCAAGCTTGTTCGACACACGAACCCAGAGGAGGTTTCCGTTATTGAGACAGTAGCTAAGCCAAGTCGACTGAAACGCTGGGTCGAGGACATTTTAGGAGCATTTCAGTATAAGAGCTCCACCACCGATCGTGTCACTGTCGTTGAAATGGTTATTAAGGCTTTCCACAGTATGCTGGAAAACCGTACCGACGTTTCGCTGCCAACCAATCGCGCGAGGGCTGGACATATGGCAAAGTCGCCCGCACCTACGCGGACATGCAATCCTTTCGGTCACCGGCCTAAGTACAACGCCTCGCTAATGACTGCCGTAGTGGCTCTTTTATGCACTACGAAACAACAGATGTTTTCTGTTGGTAATCGACCGACATGTGAAAACCACCGTTGTCTCAGTAGCATCATCCTGCCCTGGCCGTCTGATCCACACGGGGAATGAGTCCGTGAAATTTAGACAGACTTTGCCCGCATTTTTTTCTCTTTGACAGGCTTTTGCTACCATACCTACAAACAGCCCATCATTGCATTCCTCCCTGACATGAAGATTTCACTTGATTCGGTTGACCGCGACGATGCTTAGCTCTGAACACCATACCTGAGAAATTCTCTTCTATTCTAGTTTCTCTGTATCACGTTTCCTGGGCCGTATGCCTCTCTAGGAGAAACCCTGAATTCGCAACAAGTGGAGTGCATTAGAGCTCTCTTATCTCCCTCTGTACTCGTGACTTCCTTTCTCCCGAAGTCGTCCTACTAGTACCCTACCGTAAAACCTAGAGCATGCGGTGATATCCCTCATTTGATCGGACCCAGCTGTTTAGTAATCACGGCTTAGTGTTACATCATTAGTATACACGTTAGCTAGATATGGAAAACCTCTCAACTATTGTGAGTTTACCGGTGGCCGAGTGGTCTGCACCTTTGCTTTGCAACCATGAGGTCACCGGTTTGAATCCGCGTAGGGGTGGGCGTCCTCGCGGTATACACAGCCCGTGCGCGACTGGTGGTGGTCGCGCGGCAGCGAAGCGCTGTTACGGCGTATAAGCTGACACCCTTCTTTTTCTTTATTGTGAGTTTACCTTTGCGTCTGTACCAAGTAAAGTTGGGGGCGGATCTTCTAAAATGCCAACATAAGACGAACGATGGACACCGTTGTCCGGGGACCATTCCTGTCTACGCTAAAATGCTTAGTTCGTTGGGAACTCTGAAGGGGATGGTGTAGTGAGGGTGAACGGGATGACGCATTACCTCGGTGCGCAATGAGGCTGGACTTTGCTGTATCAATAAAGCCGCAGAACAGGTAAAAATGTTCATTTGGTAATTCCATGCACGATTGAGAGCATTGAAGGCGTCTATAACCGATTTGCATCACTGGCGACCCAAATCATCGAATTGCCGCTGTCACGGGTTTCACGGGTTTGCGCAGAACGAGTAAGCGTAGCTTTTCGGTGGTTCTGCCTCGGGATCTTACAGCAAGGTCCTGATCTCGTCGGTAGGTACCAGATGTTGTGGGTCTCGACGCAGTAGTGGTGTTCAGCACAAGAGTTCAGCGAGTTGACTGTGGGAACGTGGATACCTGGAACAAGAGAGTGGGGTAGGTAAATTCGGCAAAGTTGGACAGAAGCAAAATGATAGAAGCGCCGCGTGTTAGCTTGGCAAATGGCCAGATCTTAGCAACGTGGAAGACCAGCGAGAGCCAAGCGTCTAGGCGCTGTTTGAAGGCCTCCGTATTGGGCGCTGAGACAACAACTTCAGGGAGGGCGTTCCAAGCGAAGGCAATACGCACACTGAAACTGTTTCTTCGGCACAGAAGGCGACTGCTACGAGTCATCAGTTTGAGTGAGTGCCCTCGAAGATGATCTGTACGGGCGCGGACCAGCAATCCTGCGTTTGGGTGCCTGTTGTTAGTCAGGACGGAATAAGCTAAGATAAGGTCGCCACGAAGCCTGCGATATTTCAACGGGAAGAGGTTAAGGGCCGGCAGACGCTCCTCATACGAGAAGTGGGATAGTCCGTCCACTCTCTTAGTGGCTCTGCGCTGTACAGTTTCCAGCATGGCCTCGTCCTTCTTCAGGTACGGCGGCTGGACAAGTATGTTGTACTCCAGCAGCGGACGTACTAAAGTGCTATAGAGACGGACGAATGTCTCTCTAGGGAAAGACCCTAGTGCACGTCCAAGGAGGGCCAGGTGAACGCTAGCCTTTCGCGCCAGTGTAGCTACATTTGGCGCTCGGGCTCAGGTCGGCGGATATTATGGTCCCCAGGTCGCGTTCCTGGGATGTGGCTTTAAGATGCACATCGCCGATATTGTACGGATTAGCCACACCTTGCCCAATGTGCATGACTTTGCACTTGTCGATGTTAAACGGGAGCGAATTTTTCGAGGCCCAAGACTAAGCAGCATCGATATCTGTCTGGAGAAGTGCCTGATCACTTGGCCTGCGGATAGGTCGCCATATCTTAGCGTCGTCCGCATAAAGCAGTATGTGGCTGCTGATACAGGATGGGAGGTCATTGATGAACAAATTGAACAGCAGGGGCCCGAGACAATCAGGGACAGCGCGGGTGCGCTGGTACACAATAAGGAGCGCCGTATGGCTCGTTGGGCTGAGCACTTTGAACATCAGTTCAGCTGGCCCCCTGCTCCCGAACCTCTTCCTACTCAGGTGATGCAGGACGAGCCATGGACGGTTAGTTTAGAGCCTCCGTCGGAGGCCGAGGTCCGAAACGCGATCACAGCCCTCAATCGTTTTCGTGCAGCTGGCCCGGATTCCCTACCACCTGCACTATTTAAGGATGGAGGTGAGGTCCTCTGCAAAGCACTGACCTCCTTATTCGTATGCATCTGGAAGGAAGTGTGCCGGCTACTTGGAGCGAATCGATTATAGTGGCAATATACAAGGAGGGAAGTCGCACAGACTGTTCTAACCACATGGGTATTAGCCTAACGCCAGTTGTGACAAAATTACTGGCCTCGATTATCGTTCGTCGCCTCACTGCAGAACGGGAATCTCGGATTAGAGAAGAGCAGGCCGGTTTTCGCCCAGGACGTGGCTGTATAGACCATATATTTACTTTGCGGCAGGTGCTAGAGCAGCGCCACGCATACCGCAGACCGACAATAGCTGTGTTCCTCGATTTCAAGAGTGCGTTCGATTCAGTCGATCGATCGATTCTGTTCGAAATACTTGCGCGGAAAGGTGTTCCCACGAAGTATGTGAACATCCTTCGTGCTCTATACTCGAACACTACAGGCCGCGTCAGCGTCTACCGTGGCATATCGGATAGCTTTCCGACCACAAGTAGCGTTCGTCAGGGTTGTCCGATTTCTCCGTTTTTGTTCAATTTCGTCGTGGATTCTATCATGGAGTGTTCCCTTGCGGAATCTCACGATGTAGGTGTTGAAGTGCTGCCTGGAGAACGGTTAGTTGATCTAGATTATGCGGACGACATCGTGCTGCTTTTCGACAATGTTGAGGCGGCACAATCAACCCTGAATAGCCTGTCCAGAGTGGTCCCATTATTTGGTATGCACTTCGCACCTTCAAAGTGCAAAGTGTTGCTGCAGGACCACCAGCCACTCGATGACCCCTTGACGCTTGCTAACGAGGAACTCGAGGTGGTTGACCAATTCATTTATCTTGGCAGCTGCATCAGCAATGATGGGCGCATAGCAACTGACGTGAGCTCACGCATTGCAAAGGCCAGAGCTGCCTTCTTTAACTTGCGTCATCTTTGGCGACAGAAGGGAGTTTCCCTCCGTCTGAAAGGCCGTGTATACAAGGCCACAGTGAGGGCCGTTCTGCTGTATGGTAGTGAAACTTGGCCCCTTCGGTCTGAAGATCTGAGGCGCCTTCAAGTCTTTGATCATCGTTGTTTGCGAAGCATTGCTGGTGTCGGATGGCACCAGCGTCTCCGCAACGATGATGTGCGTAGGCGAGTACTAGGTGGTGATGATCATGCTAGCTCCCTAGAACAACAGA